CGCTCAAAGGTGGCTAAGTGTCGACTCGCGTCTGTGTCCGTACAGGCTTAGTGTCTCTTGTGGCAAGGAAACATGGTGGCGATGCCTAGGTCCTGGAAGTGACCTACACCAATTAAGTTTTTCGCAAACGAGGGATGTGCAGACCTGTCAGGAAGCCTAAGCAGACAGCTGGACAAGGTCGAATGGTGGTGCTGCGTGTGACAACTCATGGAGCCTGCTAGTGCAACACGGATGGGTACAAGAAGCGGGGTGAGAGGGATGGGTACAGTATTGTCTCTAAAGAAGGTAGTGTGACGTGCCAGCATTTAGGATAAAGGAGAGGGCCGACGTGGTGGAGCCCAATGAAGGATCGCTAAAAGAGACTACGCCTGATGCAGCAGGGGAGTCTACGCCTAACGCCGCAGGGGATCCTAGACTACACACAACAGGAGAATAGGAACCAGCAACACTAGAGGCATCGACATACACTGATTAAATCGCATGCTCTATCTGAATCATATCAAGATCAAATGTCGGAATCCCACAATGAAGCAAAGCGGGCCAGGGAGGTACCCGCACCAGGGGGCCGTACTAGCGGCGGTAGGGGTCGTCAAGGCGACGGAAGCAGTGGGCGGCGGTGTGGCCCGCACGTCCGCAGACTTGGCCCGCCTAGGGGTCGGTCAGCAACTGGTACGCGTAGGACTTCGTGCCTCCAGGACCGCCAGCACCCTGGCTCAGAGAAGAGCCACGAGACTCCCAGGGCACTGACTGCCCTGGGGCCCAACCTCCACAGCCTCCACCACGACCACCTCTCCGAAGTCCCGCCAGCCCCCATGGCAACTGCTGCTACTGCTGCGTTGGTTGTTGCTGCTACTGCGCAGTCCTCGACTCCGACTGACCACCCTCTCCATCTGTCCCTGCACCCCCTCCACCCACCGCTGCCGACCCCCCACGACCCTTACCCCCCTTCCCCTTGCCCCTCTGGCCCAAGGAGCAACTGGGCATGGTGGCAGCCGCGGCAGTCTCCGTCGCAGTCTCTGCTACAGGGGGGAGGCAGTAGAGACAGTCATCTGGGAGGGAGCGCTATCCTGAAAGTTAGGTACCGTCGGCGCGCCAGTGGAGCCAGCGATGGCGCGGAAGAGGTCCTCTATCTCAGTCAAAGAGCTGGAAAAGAGGTCGAGCGTGAGCTTAGAGGGTGGGCAGGCAAGTAGCGTGTCGCGAGCACGGGCAAGGCAGCGGGCGGCAGTGGGCGGCAGCAGGCGGCAACGTGCGGCAGCGGGCAGCAGCAGGCGGCAGTGTGCGACAGGGGGCGGCAGCAGCTGCTGCACTGGCTGCGGCAGTGCAGTAGGCGGCAGCAGGCGGGAGCTGGCGGCAACAGCTGCAGCGACAGCGGCAGCGGGAAGCAATGGGCGGCTGCGGGCAGCAGCGAGCGGCAGGGGCGAGCCGACGGCTGCTGGCTGGCAGCGGCAGGGTGGCTGCTAGCTGGCGAGCGGGTGGCGAGCCGACGGTGGGCTAGCGAGCCGGCGACGCGAGCTGGCTGGCAACTGCAAGCTGGCAGTTGCTGGCTGGCGAGCGAGCGGCGACCAGCAGGCGCGGAGCAGCGGGCAGAGGGCAGGCGGGCAGGCACGAGCTGGTGCTCGGCAGTGCGGGCTGGTGCTGGCTGGCGCGGCTGGTTTGCGAGCTGGTGACAGTTGACTACGGGGGGAGGGGGGTGGGTGGTAACTGGCTAGGGGTGACTAGGAGTGGCTAGGAGCGGCTAGAAGCGGCTAGGGGCGACTTTGAGCTACTTAGTTAGGGGCGGCTAGAAGCGACTTGGAGCTACTTAGTTAGGGGCGCAAGCGTGAGTAGGTGGGACCTAACCTAGCTGTAGATGCCATGTCGAGAAAGGAAGAAGGGAGATGATATACAAGTACAAAGTGTTGTCCCCTCTAAGAGCTGATCTAGCTAGGTTATAACAAATAAACATATCTAACCTAACTATATATAAATATATAATTACTTGAGACAAAATACCTACCTAATTAGCTTAGGTTGGCCTGATGAGAAAGACTACGTGAGAAATGCAAACATGATACCTTCAAAATGCAAAGATCAACCTATTGAGAAAGCTTGTCGAGTGACCCGCTGGGATTACCCTTGAGAAGATCCTCTGGGAAGGGCCACAGGTGCAGAGACTGGGGGGCTATGGGCGCATTGACCTGCAATTTAAAAAGCCATTTTAACTCAGTGGTTAGTGGCTGAGTTTCTGACATGGTTTCAGAGCGTTGGTGACTCGCGTTCAATTCTCAGTGCTAGCACTGCAGAGGCACTCGTGTCTTCCACCTAACCCAGCGAGGGGGGGTGTCTAGTGACCCGTTGGGGTTACCCTTGAGAAGATCCTCGGGGAAGGGCCACAGGTGCAGCGCGTGGGGGGGCTATGGGCACACTGACCCGATATATTAACAAGCCCTTTTAACTCAGTGGTTCGTGGCTCGTGGTTGAGTTTCTGACAAAGCTTGCTTCTTGTTAGTGCAATTGGCATTGTTCTCATTTTACTGGCATCAAGTACAAAGAGTTCCCAATATATAAGTACATCAACCTGGATTGCTACACTGAAAAGGCTATGCCTATGTTGATGACGATCCACGGGAGCACTACAGGTTGCCGTGGACGAGTCGACGAAGCCAGATGGAATGGAACGGGTTGGGTGGGCGGGAATTGGACATGAGCTTGGAAGAATGAAAAGACGTGGGTGGAGAAAGAATGACCTCCAACCACATTATATAGTTGGAGAAGGGCGAATAGCGTGCTTCGACGCCGCCAAAATTGCATTACAGATAGCTTCGCGTTCACAATACGCAATTCTAAAAGTGTAACACTTTAAAAATATTATAATTTTAAAACACGGCCAGTGTTTTTCAAAAATTGTGTATTGTGAAAGCGAAGCTGATTGTACTGAAGCTTTGGGCATCATCAGAGCGCGCTACTCGCCCTTCTCCAACTACAAATACGTAGGTTGGAGCTCATTTACCTTCACCCACGTCTCTCATTTTTCAAACGGCTCAGTCAACTTTTCTCGCTCTAGCTTTTCTCCTGTTCAAGCTGGCTAAGACTAGAACTTTGCCTCGCGGCTAGTCTCCCTCAACTCTTCGTTCCGATATTTTTAAGTTTAACCAATCCGCCATGGCTCCGACTATGAATAATCGCGGCGAGTCCAACGTCGTAACCGGCCAACCCAATTCCGAGTCTACTCTCCAAGCCCCAGAAATTGCGGCCGACCGGCGGAACAAGCGTCGGGCAAAAGAAGGGGCGTCTGCCCCAACTGGGGTTGACGTTTTGCTGGGAGGGGGCGTCAGCTTGCTGACGCGCCCCCACCCCCTTCCGAGCCACGCGCGCAAGTAACTGAGCAGAGCCAGCCACTCGCGCCTGACGCCGAGCCGCAGCACGCGCCAGCGCTGCAAGTGGCGGGTCCTTCTCGTCAGCGCAAAAGGGGGCACGCAGCTGCCTCGTCTGACGTGCCGCCCACCCCGACCTTGACCCCCTCGTTGACCCCTGCGCATGTCAACACGCTGTTGACGCTGTTACAGCAGCAGGCGACGAGTGTTACGGCCGCCGAAACTGCTGAGCGTGCTGCTTCTGCATCTGCTAAAAGGGAACCTGCAAAAAAAGAAAAGGCCACATGTGGAACCAAGATGCCACGCCTCGCTAAAGACGCCATCGCCAGCATCCCGCCTGCCCCTGTGGCCGACAACGACAGTGACGACTCCGACAATGACGCTGGTGAGGTCCCCGGCATTGCTGCAAATTCAATTCCCATGGAGCTCCTCCCACCCCTCCGGACCACTAACACCACCCTCTCAGCGGCGTCCTTCCTCAACGCGGCCGTGCGCGAGCAAGCAGAAGTCCTGGAGGACCTTCGGGCATACCTGAAGGACGCGGAGTACAAGATGCAGCACGGCGACGCGCCGGGCGGCCTCGAATTCCTTGCCGACGCGCTCGCCCTCATATCGCGGCGCTTCGAAGTCCTCCAAGTCAAAAACGCCTCCGAATTCTGCACAGCCAAGTGTTTCAAGCTGTACCAGCAGAAGAGTCTGCTTACCTCCAGGCCGTTCAAACAGGTCGTCGCTGATGTGGCTGCAATGGACCGCGCCGAGGGCGCTTTTGCTCGTGACAAACACGGAGGCGGCCACATGCCCATGCCATTCATGCCAAAGCGTGGTCCGCCGCCTACGGGAGAATTCCATGGCTTCCGAGGCACTTGCTTTCGCTCTGGCCAGCCGGGGCATGTGGCCAGCGGCTGCCCGGCGAATGAGCATGGTGGCCAAGGACCCGCACCCGTGGTGTAGGGGTCGGGCCATGGGCGCTTGCGCAAGTGGCGCAAGGCGCAAGGCACCCGGTGTGTGCGTAGGCCATTGGGCCCACCCCATAGGGGCACGGGTGGCAGAAGGCCAGCCCTAGTGTAGGCTATTTGAAGGCCCTAGGCTCAGAGCAAGGGAAGGGGAACAGACCCCCTCGGTCCCGAATGATAGCCCGACCTTGCGGGGCGGACTTTGCATGCCTAGGAGCATGGTTGAGAAGTGATGTACTTGTTTGAAATAAGGAGCCGTGGTCCTCCTTTTTTTTTTAGGTCTTGGTCCTTCAATACAACCAGACAAAGGGGAAAGCAGCACCAAAAGAGGTGCAGCAAAAAAAAAAAAAAAAAAAAAGAGGAGGGAGAAGGGGGGGATCGGAGAAGCATGAAACGGGGAAGCATAGTGGGTGGCTCAACCCTCGCAACATGTCATGCAGCAACCCCGGCCAGAGAAGCAAGGCCATCAGGGACACCAATGGCCCGCCAATTACCCTCACATAGCAGCTCCTTGATTGGACAAGTTAAAAAAGAAAAAAGAACAAGAAGAAGAAAAAAAAAACAGAAATCAAGCATTATGCGAGCTTCACGAGGGGCCTACCCTCCAACCCGGTGTGCCACACCCTGGAACCTAAGCATCTCCCCTGTGTGGGCATACAAGATCAGCCACACCAACCTCATCCAGGGCTGCCTAGTTTGGCATTGAACAAAAAAAAAAAAAAAAAAAACAACAACAACAACAACAACAACAACAACAACAACAACAACAACGAGTCACGGAAGCATGCACGCATGCACGCGGTCTCGCCCACGAATGGGAAAAGCAACAAAAACACTTGCACGCATGCCATACAAGCATGAGAGCAAGAGGTGGCCAGAGGAAAGACAGGAGAAAGCACGGGTGTTGAAACTCAAAACCCAAGAAATGAGAACGCAAGCGAAAGAGGCAATAGAGGGTAGCATGCGTTCGCAAGTAGAAGCGCGAGTGAAGGCACAAGTTGTGGGAATATGAGGGCAAAAGGGAAGGAAAATAAGTGGAAATTCATGCATGAACGTCGGGGCGCAGGCTCGAACACAAGCTCGGTATGCGCGGACACGCAACTTGATACACACGCAGATCACGCCGCTCAGACTCGCTCAAGTGCAGGCAACCACCGAACCAAGCAACTTGCTCGCATGTAGCACCTCAGTCCGGCATGCCCTTCTTAGCCACTAGGCTTTCACACTCCCCCCCCCATGCTCTAGGTTTCCAGCAGGACTAATCCCTGCAGATAAACTTAAGTATTCGTCCCTTGCTTCTCCATGCATGATGTCACTCCCACCCGACTTCGCGAATGCGCACACAGCGGTGACCCCTACTAATACGCGGTTACTAATAAGATGGTCACCCAGATGCGTGGCCGCCTACTTACCACGTTTGCTTGGTGGAGCTCGTGGTGCACTAGAAGTTTCACCCTCTCAGTCATTGCCAAATGATATTGGATGCCATGGAAACTCGGGCCGCCGCCAGCCTTTCACGATCGCAACCATGCCGGCGCACGCATACACGAAACATTCACGTACACGGCCATCCTCAAACTCACCAAGATTGGCGCGGCCGTCCAAATTCCAGCGGCAAAAGTGAGATGCATAAGCCCACTCAACGTGGTCGAGCAGAAAGACAAGTGTCTCCTTATTCTGGATCGCCAAAAGGTGAACGACGCACTAATCGTCCCCAAATTTAAATATGAGGGACTCAACCGTGTGGCGGACCTCGCTCGTCAAGGAGATTGGATGTTCTCCATCGACTTGAAATCAGGCTATCACCATGTCGACATCCACCCCTCGTGCTGGACGTTTCTCAGCTTTGAATTCAACGTTTCTCAGCGTTTCACATATGCCTTCCGATCCTTGCCGTTCGGCCTCGCCACAGCACCATTCGTCTTCACGCAACTCATCAAGCAATTAGCTTGGCGATGGCAGGAGCAGGGGGTCCGTGTGATACCCTACGTGGACGATATTCTCTTCCTGTGCCCGACGCAGGCACACGCTCAAGCTACGTGCCAACGGGTCATTATCAATCTCAAGGCCGCAGGGCTCGTACTCAACTAAAAAAAGTCCAAGCTGATACCAACACAGCACCTTCGGTTCCTTGGCGTAGAACTCGACACACACGCCGGCCGGTTTTCCATCGGCGAGGAGCGGCAAGCCACACTCAACGCCACCCTCCAGGCCCTACTGCGCGCAAGCTCAGCCTAGCAGAAAGTCCCAGTCCGGCAGCTGGCCCGAGTTATAGGCATGCTGGAATCGATGGCCATCGCACTCGGCACCACTACCCGAGCATTCAGCCATGCCATGCTAGAAACAATCAACGACACGCCGACATGGACCAGCATGGTCCTCCTCTCCCCACCCGCTATCGAACAGCTGAGATTCTGGATCCAAGAGTTCGACCGTTTCAACGGTGCACCATTCCACGTGCGGCACAGCTACGATGCAGTCATCTACATAGACATTCCCTGGAGCCGCAACAGAGGCCAGTGCGGCAATGCCCAAAGCCCTTCATCCAACCTCCAGCACACAAAGAGAGATCGCCGGCGTGCTTTGGGTGCTACAGACGTATGCGCCTAGAATCCGGAACAAACACGTGCTAGTGCAGGTGGACAACCAGGCTGTGTTCTTCACCCTTCGCAAAGGATTTTCCCGAATTCCTGACATCACCACCACATGCAAAGGCATCATCCAAACATGCATGGAGTTTGGGATTCGTCTAATCATCAAATGGATCCCACGTGAACTGAATGGTCGCGCAGACGAGCTCTCCAAGCTAGTCGACCACGACGACTACTCGTTGAACCTTCCATTGTGCCGCCTCCTCGAGCGTCGCTGGGGGCCCCACTCCATCGACCTATTCGTCAACCCCCAAAATGCACACTTGCCACGTTTCTGCTCTAAGGTCCCCCACCCCGATGCCACAGCAGCTGACGCCTTCTCGCTTGCCTGGACGGCCGAGAACAGCTTTTGCATTGCCACCGCCCCAACTCATCCCCGCAGTACTCCATTACGCACACCGCATGAGCGCATCTCTCACCCTCATCGTCCCACACTGGCCTGGCGCAAGCTGGTGGCCGCTCCTCCAGCCTTCCCCTCCATCGTGGGACCCACACATCCAAGCACATATCCCTCTTACACATGGCAGCCAGTGTCTTGCAGTCGGCACCCACAGTCAAGCATTCTCAGGCACAGGATTACCCAGCAGCACTATCGTCGCACTCCATGTGATATTTGACTAACCAGACTCCTCTGCATGTCCCCAGATCTGCTTCCAAAGCTCCAACACGACCTGCTCTCCTTGCTCGCCCGCTCTCGTGCCAACTTGACCATCCGAACATACAAGCCTTACTGGGTGAAGTTCTTCGCCTTCTGCACGAAGGTCAGCCTGACGTTCTTGCCGGCATCAGACATGACCCTCGCGCTCTACCTGGTGTATGTCATCCAACGCAAGGCCTCCTTGTTGGTGGTTCAGCTCACATGCCCTCTTGTGAGCTTTGCCCATCGGATGACAGGCTCAACATGCCCAACCACCGGCCCTTTCACCTCCCAAGTGCGCGACTTCGCGAAGCGACACTGCCCGTGTCGTAAGAGGCTCAAAGAGCCATTCTCACTCCATCAGGTCCACAATATGGCGGTCTGCTTCCTACAGTTTAACAACCCAGCCGTGTTCCAAAAAGGATTGATCCCGATTCTCATGTACGCCGGTTTTTTGCGCTACTTGGACTTGGTGGCCATCAAATGGCAGGACATCCAATAGAAAGATGAAGCTATGTGGCTACTCATCCCCCACTAAAAAACCGACCAAGCCGGCCAAGGCACATGGATCCCTATCGCGGCAAGCCCCGGATCCTTTTGTCCGGTCCAGGGCACCCAGAGGCTCATTCAACTCGCAGGATACAGCCCCCAGTCCCCGGGACCGCTCATCCGGGTCTTCGGACCCCACCTACCGAGCCACTGCACAGCCAGACCGCCCTTAGACATCACAATCCGCAACTGGTGCAAAAATCGGTTTGGGAGAAGAGCACCTAGGCACCCACTCCTTTCGGAACGGCGCGGCCACGGTTGCTGCCAACTCTGGGGTATCTTCAAACGACTGGGCCGTTGGCGTAGTGAAACTGCGAAATATATGTACGTCACGCCTGCGACCGATCATCTTGTTGGCGCATATCATCGCCTACAAGACCCGGTGGCGGCACCCTCCTCCGCACAACATGCCGAAGCACTTCTCCGCCACCGCAAGCCCCCACTGCACATGTCTCAACGACCCCGCTTGAAATGAGATTTGATGCCTATTGCGTAGGACAAGAAAGCAAGCTTTCTCAATATTATATTTTTTAAACGCCCGTAGTGTTTTTCAAAAATTGTGTTTTGTGAAAGCGAAGCTGATTGTACTGAAGCTTTGGGCATCGTCGAAGCGCGCTACTCGCCCTTCTCCAACTACAAATGCGTGGGTTGGAGCTCATTTAACTCCACCCACATCTCTCATTTTTCAAACGGCTCAATCAACTTTCCCACCCACCCCCCCTAGACAACCGTGCATCTCCAATTGCCAGCCGGTCACCTGAACGGGAGGATCATGATGTATGTAAATTTAGATTTTTATAAGCTCGTAAGAGCCTTTTGTACCTAGCCCACTTGAAATGAGAACGATGCCCACTTGAAATGAGAAGGATGCCTTGTTAAATTATCTTGTATATAATTGTAGGCTCGATAGGTGTCACTGGATTCTACTGTAGAGGGTACAACCCCCCTTTTTGTATCCCTCTCTCTTCTATTCATAGCTCTCTTCTCTCTCGATAATTTCTCCTTCTTAAACCTCACGTCATTCCATGGCTTCTACTCCTAGCTAGCTACTTTGACATGGTTTCAGAGTAGGTTGCTCTTCCTGGGCCTGCTTATCACGCTTCCGCAGCGCACTCCTCCTCTCCCTCTCGCGCTGCCACGTCGTGCTGCTGTTGCGGCGTCGTCGTGCCGCCGGCCCCGTCGTGCTGCCGCGGCCGGCTCGACACGCTGCCGTGGCGTCGCGCTGTCGTGGCGTCGACGTCACACCGTGGCGGCGCCGTCGATGTCAAGCCGTGGCGGCATGACGGCGTCGTCGTGTTGCTGTGGCGACATGCTGCCAGCGCGCGGACGGCACGGACAGCAGCGGCCAGCGCCACGTCTTAGCGCTGGCCAGCACGCCCGCATGCAGTCACCATGCCACACGGGGCGGCACGCTCCCGGGCTCCGCTGCTGAAGCCCTGCCCCCCTTCCCCTGTGTCCCCTCTTCCTCGCCGCAGCCGACGGCTGACTCACGCCGGCCGTCCCACCGTCGCGGAGCCCGGCCACGCCGCCGAGTGCTGCGAGCTCCGCCGCCGCCGGCAGCTGTCGTCAAAGCCGCCGCCGCCGCAGCTGGTGCCGCTGGCCACGCCGCCGCCGCACGCCGCCGTCGCAGCCGTTGCAGCCACTGCCCTCGTCGACGTCGCCGCCTCACGCGCCGAGGGGCTGACCCTGCTGAAGTAGCTGTCGCTGCTGCTGAGTATGGGGGTGCTAGGGGGTGTGAGGCTTAGTGTGCTGTGTGTGTGGCGGGCCTTCAGCTACCAAGCCTAGGGGGTGTGTTAAATTATCATATATATAATTGTCGGCTTGGTAGGTGTTACTGGATTGTACTGTAGAGGGTGTTGTGATATAATTGATACTTAGCATTTCGGTAAGTCGATTAAGTGTAGTTAGTGTCGAATCATACTGTAGAAGATAAGTCAATAGAATGACGTCAGCAAATAGCGCTCGTCATAGGACAGTCGTTTCAGTCACGCGAACAGTCGCACCTCTTCATTATTGTCTAGGGCGCATAGCGCGATAGTGATGAACATGTACATTATCGAATAGGTACTTTTCTTAGAACTATAAATCCTTGTCAGGTCTTTTCATTATTAACTTTGATTACCCACAAGTTCACATACTCAGGTTATCCAACCTTGACCTTTACATTTTACAAGACTTCCGCTGTCTTACTAGTCTACCATTCCAGCAAAGATCCTGGACCAACACTTGAGGATTTGCCAAGTGTTCGTGTTCGTGTTTTATACTTAGTCTACTACAACTCCAGACGATTTATTTCATGGTATGAGAGCTATCTGGAATTAAGACTACCGTGAACTAAGACTGGTTCAACACCAGCACCATCTGCTGGATCAGTTACTGGGACTACTGGAGCATATGCCTCCACTTCCGCTGCTGGTCTCTCAGCCTTTGGTCACTTTCCACCAGCCTATGCTAATATCGGTATGCAACAGCAGAATCCGCCTTCTGTGAATACTCCAGGTGCTCCATCGACTGCAGCCGCAGTCGCAACAGTTTCAGCATCCTTTCTATATCTTCGGTCGTTCCCCTGCTCAGCAACAACAACAGCAGTATCAGCAACCACGGCAAGTACAGCAACAGCAACAGCAACAACAACAGCAACAGCAACAACAACAACAACAACAACAACAACAACAACAGCAACAACAGCAACAGCCAGGCATTGTTTTTCAGCCTCCAAATTTACTTAACAATACTCAGATCAAGACAACCGTACCTTTTAATGGTGTTGACTTCACTGGCGAGTTTACGTACCCTGTCGTGGGAACACAACTGGGGCAGCAGAGTTTTTTACACGCCTCTCTCGGGGCGTATACAGTTCTTGTACGGAACTTGTCGCCGAAGGAGCAGCTCGGCGTTCGATCATTTCACTCAAGTTTCACACCAGCCGAAACTGCATGGAATCATCTGAAAGGGGTATACATGGCAAAGGATACGATAATAGTGAGTAAAATACTTTCGTAGTTAACAAGTGTGCAGATGATGACAAGTGAGAACGTCATGGATTACGTCAACCGCGTCCGTACACTACGCGATCAACTGGAGAAAAGTGGGGGATACTTCCCTCGTGAGATGTATCTCACGGTACTTCAGGCTGGTCTTGGACCCGAATGGTGACAGACGCGCGCCTTCCTTCGCATGAACCCCAACCTCTCCGAAGCAGAAATCTCTTCGTATCTTCAAGCAGAGCAGCAAGATCTTGACCTGCAATCACAACGAAATCAGAAAAGGGGGCTTCATTTAAGTTTTTACTCCAATCCAGAACAACAGCATCGACATCCACCAAAGTATCCATTCTGCCACTTCTGTAAGAAACCAGGACATACTTACCAAAACTGTCGCAGTCGTCATCAAACTCGTCGCAGCACTTCGCAGCCGTATCACCGATCGCAGTAGTTACCGAAGACACAACAGCCACAGCAGCAGTTAACGTCTCAGCAGCAGCAAATGCCTAAACCGTCGCAGAATTCATCAACGTCGCAGCATCGCCCGCCGGTCTTCGCATCTGCCACATCAGGAAAAGGAGTTTTCGGATGTGTTACAACAGTTGATGTTTCAGAAACAGATTTCGAGACGCAACTTGAAGAAACCACAAGTGCTGAAGGCATTCCTTTACCTCAAGTTTACGCTAACCTCGCTCCCATAATTTCAGGTCCGAATACCTGGTATCTCGACAGTTGCTGCGGATGGCACATGTGCTCAGCAGAAACAAGCTTCATTACCAATCAGCGTTCACTTCGTCGTCCGATACCTGTAACAGTCGCAAACGGACAAACCATCACGGTACGAGCAGTTGGAAGTGTCATGCTCGAATCTATCGACACGGGATACTCACTTCATGTTACTTATGTCCTTATCGTCGCCGGTCTTGGCTTCAATCTTCTTTCCACGGCTCAACTCTTGGCACACAAAATTCGCACACACGGCAATTGTGACACGATGGATCAAGAGCTCTGGCACAGTTCCACGAATACTTATCTTGGTCGTGCCGCTACTCAACACGGCGTATCCGTTCTTCAGTTCGCAGCACAAGGAACTTCTGGCGATTCTGAACGCGTGCTTGCACTTGGTCCCTGGGATCATCCAGAAGAAACAGATTATCAAAACGTGGATATTGACTTTCGAGCAACTACTGTACCAACGACTTCTTGAACTGCAGCCGCCGTCCTTACCGCGTTGGATACCTGGGAGTTCAATACCGCCGATAAAAGCGCCACCGCTTGGCGAACTTTTTATAATACCTGTGCAGCCTTCCAAGGAACTCCAGCACCACTTTGGGGAGAGATAAGTGGTCTTGCAGCTGATGAACCTGACGTTGTTGAAGAAGCCGAACAAGAAGCAGTAGCTAAGCAGCCGAGTACAACAGTAGCTGTCGCCGAAATACCTGCCACGACATCAATAGAAGCAACGTCAAAAGTTATTCTCGCAACTGCAGCAGCACGAACAAATGTTACGTTACCTCTTAACCGTTTCGTCGAAGGAGAAATTGACAAGTCACCGGCGCTTTCTCCTTTCATTCTTTCTTCCTTTTATACTAACTCCGATTTCTACCTGCGATCATCAGGACACAAAGCCACAGGAGAAATATGGCATCAGCGTTTAGGACATCCATCCCAAGGGATTCTTAATCATTCCATTCGAGCAGCAGTTCTTGATAAAAATAGTCTACTTTTACCTGATGGCACGGAGATGAAGCCGCAGTCTCGTCCAACGGTTTGCACCACTTGTCCAGTTGCCAACCTTACGCACGATCCGTTTCCCAGTAATTTTCCCGGCTCAACACATTATAAACTGATGCAGAAAGTCTACAGCGACATACTCAACATGTCTGAAGCAGGACCTAAAGACGAGAAGTATGTGATAACTTTCATCGAAGCGTCTACACGCTATGTCTCGACAGCAATCTTACCTGCGCGCCATCTCGCTCACTCCGTCTTCGTCGCGTGGCTCGCTGTCGCTGAACGAGAGTCCAGCATGAAACTGCAAGAATTTCAGAGTGATGGTGCAGGTGAGTACACCAGTAACACCTTTACAGAGTACCTTCAGACACTCGGCATCAAACGGAAGCAGTCACTTCCTCATGCACACCAACAGATGGGGGTAGCAGAAAGGATGAACAGAACTCTGCAGGAGAAGATGCGTGCTCTGCTGACGCAGGCAGCCCTTCCACCGCATTTTTGGCCGTATGCGATGGACCACGCCGTGCTGTTACACAATCTTCTTTCCTCAACATCCCTGCCCGAGTTCTCTTCTCCACATCTGCAGTGGTTAGTACAATGGGGAGCACAAAACTTTCATAAGTTTTCGGGTGTGTTGTACAGTTTCGTCCTCCAACCGCAGCACTCGGATTTTTTTCCGAACGAGCAAAATGGGGGGTACATCTCGGCATTGAAAAACAGTATCACGCGTGGAAGATTTTGGATCTTCGCTCCCATCAGATCGTTCCATCACGTGATTGTCTTTTCTATGAAAGACTCACCTTGCCCGTTTTTCGAGCCCACCAGGCAGCAGCTGCCAATCCTGCCAGGCTGTTCGAAGGCTCGCGTGCATTTGCAACTGACGAAGCCGAAGCTGATGTACCGGACGAGGATGTTTCTGAAGCTTCCGAAGCTGCCACAACAGACATTCCCGAACATGTCACCTCTACCGGCATACCTGAATTCATTCCTCTTGCAGATGCTGACCAGGATGATGTTCGCGAAGTTCATCTCAGTTACGAACACGATCGCCAACTGCAGCCGATGCCCGTCGTCTCCGACGAAGCAGTTCGTGTTACACCTGACGAAATTGGGGGGGAAGAAGGACAAGAAGAAAATTTCGCAGGTGCAAACGAAGAACGTCCGCGTTTTACAGAAATAGGATTGCAGATACTGGGATTTGCAGTAGAGTACAGTGCAACGACAGTAAGATACCTGAACCGAAAACCGTCCGACAAGCTCTCACGAGTCCTCACCGAGAAAAATGGCGCGAAGCCATGGACAAGGAGCTAGCAGCACTCAAGAATCGTGGTACATGGGATTTAATCCCGACTTCAGAGGTCAAAGGGAAGAAGATACTTACCGAAAAATGGGTCTTCCGCGCCAAGACTAATGCAGATGGGTCGTTTGAGAAATTCAACGCGCGATGGGTCGTCCGCGGGTTTGAGCAGACTTACGGCATCGACTACGAATTAACTTTTTCTCCTGTCGGCCGACATACAAGCGTTCGGATTCTACTTTGTGTCGCCGCTTGCCGTAATCTCCGACTTCGACAAATCGACGTCTCGAATGCGTTTCTCTACGCGCCTGTCGACGCACTTATCTTGGTAGAGTACCCGCATTCCTATACTACTAACCCACCGAGCATTTGCCGTCTCCGAAAATCTATATACGGCATTAAACAGGCACCACGGCTCTGGCAGCAGTATCTCCACTCACAACTGATCACTGCCGGTTTTCGTCAACTACCGCATGACCAAGGAATGTATCTACTGACCGACGGCAACAACTATATTTTACTCATCGCCTACGTCGATGACATCCTATACGTTAGTACTACCGATTCTCTTGCCGATACCTTCATACTGAAATCACAGAAAACTCTACAGCTTACCGTCTCCGAAACAGTCTCACAATTTCTTGGTCTGAACATTACCTGTTCACCGACAACTATTCATCTCACCTCTTCTAAGTATGCAGCAACACTCGCTGCCCGCTTCAACCTCACACCTACCGCAGTCTCTACACCGTACCGCTCACTACCGACTGACCACAAACCGAACACCGCACTGTTAACTTCAACCGGTTTACAGATCTATCAACAGCAGCTAGGCTGTTTACTCTTCGCCGCTGTCACTTGTCGTCTTGATCTAGCCAACGCAGCCAGTCAGCTCGCTCAGTTCTTACGCCGTCCTGAAGAGGAGCATCAGCTTGATCTTCTCCGCGCGCTTCAATATTTTATCTCGACACCTGACGTCGGTTTAGTCTACAACGTCATCGGTTGTAAAACACTCTATCTACATGGTTTTGTCGACGCCGATCACGCTGCTGATTCTACTAATCGACGGTCGCGCACTGGGTTCATCTATCGACTGGAACCTATCGGACCTATCTCTTGGAATTCTACGAAGCAGGAGCTGATTGCACTCTCCTCTGCTGAAGCTGAGTTTATTGCTGTCTGCACAGCAACACGCGAAGGACTTTACTTACAGGAACTATTGGAAGAAGCGAAGTTGACGACAACTACCCAGTTTACCCTACAGCGCGAGAATCAAAGTGCAATTCGCATCGCACATCAACCTCGTTTCGTCAACAGGACGAAGCATATTTCGCTTCGTTATTTTTTCGTCAAAGATGAAGTCGAGAAGGGGAGGATGCGATTGGTCTACTGTTCGACCAACGAAATGGCTGCCGATTTTCTCACGAAGAAGCTGACACGACAGAAGTTTCAGTACTGTAACAAGCTCTGCGGAATCTTCAAGAAGTGACACTATCGAACTTCCAGAAATGAAGGGGAGTGTTGTGATATAATTGATACTTAGCATTTCTATAAGTCGATTAATTGTAGTTACTATCGAATCATACTGTAGAAGATAAGTCAATAGAATGACGTCAGCAAATAGCGCTCGTCATAGGACAGTCGTTTCAGTCACGCGAACAGTCGCACCTCTTCATTATCGTCTAGGGCGCATAGCGAATAGTGACGAACAGGTACATTATCGAATAGGTACTTTTCTTAGAACTATAAATCCTTGTCAGGTCTTTTCATTATTAACTTTGATTACCCACAAGTTCACACTCAGGTTATTCAACCTTGACCTTTACATTTTACAAGACTTCCGCTGTCTTACTAGTCTACCATTCCAGCAAAGACCCTGGACCAACACTTGAGGATTTGCCAAGTGTTCGTGTTCGTGTTTTATACTTAGTCTACTACAACACCAGACGATTTATTTCAAAATCGCAGCCGCCGCACGCCGCCGTCGCTGCCGCACGCCGCCGTCGCTGCCGCACGCCGCCGTCGCAGCCGTTGCAGCCTCTGCCCTCGTCGACGTCGCCGCCTCACGCGCCGAGGGGCTGATCCTGCTGAAGTAGCTGTCGCTGCTGCTGAGTATGGGGGTGCTAGGGGGTGTGAGGCTTAGTGTGCTGTGTGTGTGGCGGGCCTTCAGCTACCAAGCCTAGGGGGTGTGTTAAATTATCATATATATAATTGTCGGCTTGGTAGGTGTTACTGGATTGTACTGTAGAGGGTACAACCCCTCTTCTTGTATCCCTCCTATTCCTAGCTCTCTTCTCTCTCGATAATTTCTCCTTAAACCTCACGTCATTCCATCGCTTCTACTCCTAGCTAGCTACTTTTACATGCCTATTGCAAAGGACAAGAAAACAAGCTTTCTCAATTTTACATATTGTACACACGTGCCTACCGGAATCTACCTTACCCGGAGTAGTGTTCAAATGCAATCACACGCATGAGTATGGTACTGGACTGGACGTTTACCATTTGATATGTTTCCAGACCTGAGGCTCAGTCACTATGTACAACTCTTACCTACCCTATGTTGCTCTCGTCTGGACACTCATACCCCACCCACTCCATCTCCCTCTTCCTCTTGCACCTCCAGCACCACCCCACTCCTTGTATCAATCCTCTTGGCGAGGGCGAGGTAGACGTACAGAGCAGGGGCAGCAGTGAGGAGGGAGAGAGCGAAGGTGTTGAGAGCCGTGGAGACGGTGGAGGAGATGAAGAGGCGAGTGAGCGAGGCGGTAATGAGCCAGGATGGTGAGACAGACAAGGGGGATGGAGACAGGAATGTCTCCTGGTGGGAGGGGGAGTATAGGACAAGCGGGGGCCAACAAACAAACAACCAAGGGGAGGGGGGGAAACAGCTGAGGGAAATCGGGGGGAGACATGGACAAGAGGTCACGAATGGAAGGTGAGACGAGGGAGGAGTGAGCAACGAGTGATGTGACAGCAATCAAGCGGATGATACAAAGCAGAACGCCCGTAACCCAAACCATCCCCTCCCCCCTCTTCTCTTCCTCTACGAACCGTCTCTGTCCACCTCCTCTTCCCCCCTCCCCCAACCCCTTGTACCCCCGCTGTGCCTCCCCCCTTGGTGCGCACCACGAGGAACGAGAGCAGTGCGATGCCAAGGACATCCAGGGCCAGGACCAGGAGGCGCACGGAGAGGAGGAGGGCGAGCGACGGCAGCAGGTGTGCAGGCAGCAGGCGCAGGGCGATGGCGAGAGATGCGAGGACGCCCTTGCCTGTGATGGCCGCCACTGGCACCACGAACCTGGGGGAGGGGAGAGGCGGGGCAGCGAGGCGGGTGGATGGAGGGTGCGCAGGACAGGGAAGGGCCGATTTGCAGGCTTGAGCAACGGGCGGATGCTGCAAAAAAGGGGCAGTGAACAGTTGTCGCAGCGGGCAGAAGAAAGCTTGCTGCGGAGACATGAAGTGGAGACTGGGTGGAATAAAACGGGCAAGAAGGCCTCCGCTCCTGTGCATCCATGCTTGCCCATGCGCATCCATGCGTACCCATGTTTGCCCCTGCGTGCCCGTGCACGTGCATGTGCTCGGGATTGGATGGGTGTGCATGTGTGACATGGGTGTGCATGTGTGACACGGGTGTGCATGTGTGAGATGGGTGTGCATGTGTGACATGGGTGTGCAGTGCATGTGTGACATGGGTGTGCATGTGTGACATGGGTGTGCAGTGCATGTGTGACATGGGTGTGCATGTGTGACACGGGTGTGCATGTGTGACACGGGTGTGCATGTGTGACATGGGTGTGCATGTGTGACACGGGTGTGCATGTGTGACATGGGTGTGCATGTGTGACATGGGTGTGCAGTGCATGTGTGACATGGGTGTGCATGTGTGACACGGGTGTGCATGTGTGACACGGGTGTGCATGTGTGACATGGGTGTGCATGTGTGAAATGGGTGTGCATGTGTGACATGGGTGTGCATGTGTGACATGGGTGTGCATGTGTGACATGGGTGTGCATGTGTGAAATGGGTGTGCATGTGTGAAATGGGTGTGCATGTGTGAAATGGGTGTGCATGTGTAACATGGGTGTGCATGTGTGACATGGGTGTGCATGTGTAACACGGGTGTGCATGTGTGAGATGGGTGTGCATGTGTGACATGGGTGTGCATGTGTGACATGGGTGTGCATGTGCGACATGGTTGTGCATGCAAGCGTGTGTGTGTGTCTGTGGATGCGTGTTGATATGTGAGGGAGGGAGAAGGAGATGGAGCATAGAGGGACGAGGAAACGAAGCCGTAAATGGAGAGCAACGACCTCACCACGTGAGCAGCACGGCCACCACCACCTGCGCCACGGTGACCAGCACAGCAGCCATGCCCGTGAGAAGCCCAGGCACCTCCAGCGACGCGTACACGTAGAGGGACAGCCACATGTTGAGCGCCGTGCACAGCACGTACGACAGCATCAGCAGCAGCGCCACTGCCGCTGCCGTGCCCAGGGAGCGCGTGAGGGCGACACTGGGGTTGGGGTGCACCGGGTTTAGGACAGGGGAAAGGACAGGGGCGTGGGAGTGGGATGGCTGCTTCCTCCACCATTCCTCGCATCCCATGCTACAAATCAGCCATGCATAAGAACGTGGCCCCCACGTGACGAATGACCAGGCAGCCTATTGCTATCCTGCCCCCGACTGCACGCAAGTGAGACAAGTAACACAAGCAGGGATGCTTCCAGGCCACACGCAAGGCACGCACAGGCACACAGCCACATAGCAAGCATGCACGAGCAGCATACTAACCCGAGAGCTCGCACGAGCAGAGACAGATGGGAGGGCTCGAACCACGCGATGTTTGAGGGGCGCGATGCGGGCGGCCAAGACGCCCCCGCAGCAAGGCTGGGATCAGCTGCTGCTGCTGGGACACCCCTCCCTACCACTATGGCTGTGCGGGCAGGGGCACCACCGGCACCAGCAGCAGAAGCAGAGGGCGCCAAGGCAAGAGCAAGGCGAGCAGCCGAAGCACCACCCCCAACAGCAGCACCACCTTCCTCGATGAGTTTCCCAAGCCTCCTGTTGTCCCTCTCGTCCCCCTCGTCCCTGGTAAGGCCGTGGCCCACGAGCGCAGCAACGAGGAGTGGCACGACAGTCGCAAGCACAAGGAACGCCCACAGGCCCAGCAGCAGCGAGAGCAACAGAAGAGGCGGGTTGGCCAGTTGCCGGACGAGAAAGAACAGCCATGCCTCACACACGGCAGGCATCTCGCCCTCCCCTCCCCCTGTGGCCGCTGCTGCTGCCGCAGCCATGTTGCCAACACCGGTAGCAGCAGCGTGAGGACTGGTGAGAGCGGTAAGAGAGGCGATGCGTCTTGCCATGAAGTCAGCCATGACCCCTACCACTGGGGTGGCCTGGGAGGCGCCATCCACTAAACCGGAACACAGGATACTCACCCTCCTGATGATTGCAGCGAATGGCGCTATAACGAGGACCTGGAAGAGCAGCAGGAGCAGGAAGAAGAGGACGACGGGCTGGGCGTGAGAGAGGAGCAGGGCGGCGGTGCGGCGCAGAAGGGAGAGGGCGAGGGGCGTGAGTTTGCAGGAGAAGGAGAGGAGGAGCATGGCGAGGGCGAGGAGGGCGAAGAGGAGGGAGTACTGCACGATGAAGTGGTTGGCGCGCAGAGAGACGAGGGGCGGCGACGCGGAGGAAGAGGAGAGCGGGTCGTGGTGCGCTGATGGCGGAAAGGAGAGGAGGGGAAAGGGGAGGAAGGGGGACGCGAGGAAGGACGCGGGAGAGGAGGAGGGGTTGAGGAATGGATGGGACCTTATGGGAGAGTTGATAAAGGGGGCGGTGAGATGTGCGGACTCGTTGAACGAGGGGGCTGAAGAGAAAGGCATGACGGACGCAGTGCCCGCGCCGGCAGTGGTGGCAGCCACAGCCGCCACGCCATCCGTGAGTACCGCTGCTGCTGCAGTATCCGTGACGGCCTGTAACGAGGACGCGGCGCTAGCGAGAGCGGTGGAGGCAGCACGGTGGCCGTGGGGGTCTGGGAAGCTGAATCGCGGGAGGAGGAGGACGAGGAGCGAGGCGAGGAGGAAGAGCAGCGCGAGGACCGCCAACACGCCGCGCACCGCCACGGCGACACCGCTGCCGCGCTTCACCAGTCGCAGCAGCGCCCACACGAGCGGCGCGCTGGCGACGACGGCGACGAGGATGCGCGAGTAGGCGAGCAGGACGAGCAACGTGGAGGGGGCGGGGGACGCGCGGAGGGCGGGCACGAGCAGGCGGCCCGCGTGGAGCAGCGCCAGCGACGCCAGCACGAGGAACGCGATGCGCCACGGGCGGTCGCGCCATGGCCGCGAGGCGAGGGAGAGAGGCGCGAAGGGCGCGCAGGGGGCGGCTTGGAGGTCGTAGGCGTCGGTGGAGGGCGACGCAGCTCCCGCCGATGAACGCGCAGCAGCGGCAGCAGAGGGCGCGCTGGGATGTGCGATGGGAGGGTACAGCAGAGGCGCGGAGAGGCCGGCGGAGGTGTGAGAGCCGGTGCGGGTGCTGGTGTTGGGACGAGACCCGCTGCCCCAAGGATCCATGGCTTAGGACGTGCTAGGCGAGTGTCGCTGCGTCACCTCGAAATACCGCTACTACATTCCGACTTCGCGTCTCTATGCGAGAGTAACGGAGGCGGCGTGCCTGGGATTCGGAAGACGGCTCGGTGAGTGGCGCGAAACGGGAGGGGACGACATTGAAGGGCAGTCATGCCAAGGCAGTGCTGTGCGGGGATTCGAGGGGCGGGAAGCAAATTTGCGCGCACCACCACCCTTGTAAATGTGGCGCGGCGGGGTGAGAAGGATGAAGCGAGAGGGAGGAGTCGGGGTGGAAGAAATGCAGCGCAGCAGTGCACCGAACCTGCGACATTTTCACCGCGGGGAACTGGGTTTGGGAAAAAATCGTCGTCACCCTGGCCGTTTCTGGGTCTGCAAGGATCGTTCCCGTGTATCTACGGGCTCGGGCCGAGGCCTCTCTGCCTCCACTTGTTTGACGTGGGTCCTAGACTTCGAAAATGGATCGCACCAAGCTAGGAAATGATGCACCTTAAACATTGTATGTCTAGAAACCCAAGTCCGAATTTTTTCAGGGAACGCTTAGCGCTCCTCTTAGAATTTGGCTTATGAAGCTGACTGCCCTCGCAGTGGCACCCCGGGGGAAAATAGGGGGATAGAAAATATCGCAGGTTAGGTGCATTTGCAACGCGTGGTAACGGGCATTTTCTAATCTCGCTACACGTGGCGAAAGGAGAGGGGATTGCTGCCCCGAAGGAGGGATTGGCTGAATTTCCGATAGGGAAATTATAGGGAAATTATACGCTGGATAAGCCTTCCTGTTTGTTTCCCCGATTTAGTCACACATACCCCAGCGCAGTCAACCTTTTTTAGGTTCAGACTCAGCGGCATCATACTTTTTGTTCAATCTGATGTCGCACGGCAAATATTTTCGCCACGTGTCCCATATAAAATTGCGAGGCGCGTATGAGGACTGCAGGTTTGATGTGAAAGGTACGATGCCACAATCGCGAAACCAACTGCCAATAAATTTGGGTACAATGACGCGACTGGCAGAATGGTGCATTACACGTTGCCGACGAAATCTGAGGGTGATTTCAAGGTTCGATACAAGTTTTAGAATCCCGATAAATATCATTTATGCGGACTATGAATAATATACACCACTTCGAACTCCAATCATGAGGTAGCATGCATTTTCAGGAATAACTGTTCCACTTTCCTCTAGAAGCGAACTTGTTTTTGGGAAACACTCGCATGAAAAAAAAAAAAAAAAAAAATCTTCCTCATTCATATTGCTGTGATTTTTTTTTGGGTAGATAAAGCAAACTCACGGATTTCGAAAACAATTTTAGGAATTGCTCTACGCGCAGGCCCAGCCTCGAGGAACGATTTTAGTGCATATTTTTTGGCCTGTAAAATAAATAATTTCAAGCACGACGATCTCGGCCGTATATCAGATGGCCCGAAGTCATGTCCCGAGGCTTTTCCGTGCTCAGAATGTGCCCTAGCGGAGTCTATTTGGAAAAGTTTTTGACACCGAGGTGACGAAAGTTATGTTTTGTTTGGGATGGTAACATACAAATGAGAAGAAAAGACTTCGGCATGTAACGTGGTAAGTTTGTGCCGTGTCCGACCCTAAATTACAAAGTGAGCCACATTGAATACGTGCTCTGGTACGTTATGAGTCAAATCGAAGTTGGCCCGAAATGGGAGTCTGGTGTCCGTGTTCCTGGAAGTAGCACACTGGCAGAAATGGGACACGTGGCGAAAATATTTGCCGTGCGGCATCAGATTGAACAAAAAGTATGATGCCGCTGAGTCTGAACCTATAAAAGGTTGACTTCGCTGGGGTAAGTGTGACTAAATCGGGGAAACAAACAGTAAGGCTTATCCAACGTATAATTTCCCGAAATTATAGGCTGGGTAACTCTTACTCTTCATTTCCCCGATTTAGTCACTCTTTTCTCATCTCAGTCAATGTTTTATAGAGTCGAAATCAGCAGCGTCAAACGTTTTATTCAGTTTGATGCCGCATGGCAAAACAGTTAGACAAGTGTCCCTGAAATGTGATTGTCTCAAAACATCGAGAGATAAATACTTAACGACCAAATTTTGAAGAGAACACTGCATAGCTAGTAGAGAATTCTGTCCCGATAAACATTCGCGTACAGCTCCGCGACGCGTTATTGAGATACCGACATGTCGATTAGGGCAGCTTGAAACAAAATAAAACACGCAGCAGTCCGTATATATTTGGACATGTCAATTAGGGCAGCCTGAAAAAAAAACCCGCAGCGGCCCGATATTATGGCATCAACCCTAAAGACGAAGAAAGCCGCGAGTTTAGAATTGATGCCACCACGAGTCGGATGAGGCTCGCGATGGATTTGAGTTTTGTGGGCATCCCGAAAAGCAAAACGTCAGAAATAGTGACATAAGTCTAGTTTACACCTCGAAGAATGGCTTGTTAGATTTCAACAACGAAAATAATATTTTACAATTCGGGGATTTTTGTAACAACCACTAAATTCGCGCACGTTTAGTTGCGCAATTTGTGTGCGCTTCGTCTGCTCACTGTTTCTAGCCACAAGAAGACAACACTTGGCTAAGTCAGTCTTCACGAATATAATATACTGCGAAAATTGAATGTGAGTGAAATCGAATGTTTTCTTCATATAGATTTTCTATTTGTTTGTCACTACAAGTAGTCTCCCTATTCTCTGGGATTTCGTAATTTTTGGACACGTGTCGGAAGAGTTTGCTATGCGGCATCAAACTGAACGAAAAGTTTGACGCTGCTGATTTCGACTCGATAAAACATTGACTGGGATGAGAAAAGTGTGACTAAATCGGGGAAACGAAAAGTAAGAGTTGACCAGCGTATAATTTCACTTTCCGATAATGTGCGTTCTGTTTGAGTATTGTAGCATCGATTCGCAGTAGTGGCACAAATTTTCAATAGAATTTCTGTAGTGGAGGGTTTTTGGGTTGCGGAGCAAACTATTGAGATCGATCGGACGAGATTTTTTTTCAAGTTTTGATTAAAAAGATGAAAAAAATCCAGGAATGGAGGAAAACTCCAAATTACACTACAATTTAATCAAGAAACGAGGGTAAAAAATAAAAGCAGGTGTTAATGTTTTCCGCGATTTCTCGTGGCGTATTTTTTTCGAGGACAAAAATAGGCGATCGCTTCCCCAACTGAGTGGGGGAAGTCAAAAGCCTAGATTTGTCGCAATAGGTTAGGGGGGGATTTTCAAGCTTAGTGCCTACAAAATACATTGCTTCAAGGTAATAAACTTCGTCAATACCAAAATCTGAGTTGCACTTATCGCTCCCAGGTCAAATGACTACACTCAAGGAGAGAGTCAAGCGATCATTCTTGAAACGATAAGAGCAATCCAGTTTTGACATCCACGAAACTCATTGCCACGAGTACCCATGCACTAAAGACATGAAATAAGTTGTACGCACCTTGCAAAAATTAGAAGTCGAAATAAGGGAAATATGATGCAGTCCAAAAAAACCAGCGATGCACAGAGCATAATCCAACAACACCCAAAAGGATGGACCCTGCAGCCACACCAAAAAAAATAATGAAACAAAAAGGGGAAAACAAGTTAGTAAAAAACCGTAGAAATAAAAAGAACAAGCATAAATTGGGGGGAAAAAAAATCAGAGCAACGTAGAGAACCAGCTCGCACAAGTAAGGCCTAGCAACAGGTGAAGCAGAACGCCAAATAGGAGCGGGAGAGAAGGATGAAATGAATGTAAATGAAAGAAGAGGAGGGAATGGATAAAAGAGAATAGGGAAAACGGTGGTGAGGGAAGGGTGCAGCGAAAAAGAGAGCGAAAGAGAGAGAGAAAGAGAGAGAGAGAGAGAGAGAGAGAGAGAGAGAGAGAGAGAGAGAGAGAGAGAGAGAGAGAGAGAGAGAGAGAGAGAGAGAGAGAGAGAGAGAGGTAGCGTGGAATTTGGTTCGGCTGCAGCAACAACTGCTGGATAGGGTGAGGGAGGTGGAGGAGACTATTTTTGAGGCGCCTCAAAAATAGACACGTACTGGAGGGGGTGAGAGAGGTGGGCATTGCCACTTGTTCACTGCTTAGCATTGCATCCCACCTCTCTCCACTGCCGCCCTCCTCAAGGAGATAGCGCGCGCGCGCGAGAGAGAGAGAGAGAGAGAGAGAGAGAGAGAGAGAGAGAGAGAGAGAGAGAGAGAGAGAGAGAGAGAGAGAGAGAGAGAGAGAGAGAGAGAGAGGTAGCGTGGAATTTGGTTCGGCTGCAGCAACAACTGCTGGATAGGGTGAGGGAGGTGGAGGAGACTATTTTTGAGGCGCCTCAAAAATAGACACGTACTGGAGGGGGTGAGAGAGGTGGGCATTGCCACTTGTTCACTGCTTAGCATTGCATCCCACCTCTCTCCACTGCCGCCCTCCTCAAGGAGATAGCGCGCGCGCGCGAGAGAGAGAGAGAGAGAGAGAGAGAGAGAGAGAGAGAGAGAGAGAGAGAGAGAGAGAGAGAGAGAGAGAGAGAGAGAGAGAGAGAGAGAGAGGGAGAGAAGTAGAGAGAGAGAGGTAGAGGGGGGTAGAGAGAGAGAGAGAAAAGGGGGGGGTGGGAGAGAAAGAGAGGGAGAGAATGAGTGAGAGAGAGAGAGGGATAGAGAGAAAGAGAGAGAGAGAGAGAGAGAGAGAGAGAGAGAGAGAGAGAGAGAGAGAGAGAGAGAGAGAGAGAGAGAGAGCGCGCGAGAGAGAGATCCGCTGGCATAAATCACCATTCCATACAAACCAGACAAGGAAGAGGAAGGATGGAAGAATGAAAGGAAGGGACAAAATCCAGGAAGGGGGAAGGACGGAATGGAAGAAGAATGGAGCAAGAAATGGAATCTGATCGAACATGGTAACGGAACTGTAAAGCCAAATAGAGAAGCATCCAAGGTAAAACTAGTAGAAATGAAGGACAAAAACAAGGTAATAGAGGAAGGACGAGGACAGGAAGGTAAGGAAAATGCAAGGGGGAGGGGGTGGGGGATGTATAATGATGACGCCGAAATAGATCAGGCAACAGAGGTTGGCGAAAGCTAGAAACGGTAAAGAAAGGGAAGCCTCAATGTAAGAGCTCGCTAAAACCAGATATGAGGAAACAAAAGGAGTGTGAATAGCAAACCAGAAAGAAGTAAAAGACAACAACCAGTAGGAGGATAGAAAAGAAAGCAAGGAATAGAGAGGAACAAAAAATGCAGAAATGGAAGGACTGGACAAAAGGGAAAGGAAGGAAATAAGCAAAACGAATGAGAAAGAATGAAAGAATAACAACTGAGGAATTCGAATCAGCAAAATCGAGAAAGAAAACCTAGAGGGGATTTGGAGGAAAACGAGAAGAACTAAGAAAATCACAACTAGGGAGGAAGAAAGAATGAAAAGCTAAATGAAGGAACGTGGAAGGAGAAAGGACAGGAGACTAAACAAAAGAGGAGGAGGAGAGCAATGCATAGGAACAGAGAGGCTTGTGCTTTCCGCGTTTCCAAGATGTGAATTTAGGATGGAAATAGGGGAAAAAATGTAAGAGCTCGATGAAAAGGAAGGGGACAGAATCGAGCGGAGAAGAGGAAAAGCAGGTGAGAGGAGGGGTTAGAAGGCGTATCGTGCATCTAAGCTGAAATCAACCACTTACATTTAGTTAACTGAAAAGTGAGAGAGAAGACTGCACGGAAAAGTAGGTAAGCCACTATGTCACCATAGTTAGAGAGATCTATGGTATAGTAAAAAGGCAGCAGCATCTGATGGTGTGTTGCTACCTAACAAAGTGCCACCTAACCAAGTGCTGCCTAACCAAATGCTGCCTATACTCACTAGCTGCTGGAAGAAAGAAACATGTGAGATTAGGATGTCGAGGAAGAGTACAGAAGATGTTCAAAGAGTAGAGCTGAAACAGGCACATTTTTAGACTCTCCGAACCCTCGAGCGGACCAGCTACGTTGGAGCCACGTTTTTGCAGCTGTGAAGAAGCTTTTGTTTTCGGTCAGAAATTGCTCCGTGATACTGAAATTCGCATAATGATGTTGTTTTTTTTTTTTTTTTTTTTTTTTAACGGGAATTACTTGCAGTGTAACATCAGAAAACGCGTAGGGCGTAATGCATCCAGTGGCGAGCTCAGGGGTTTTCCCAGTGCTTGACAAAAAAAAAAACAAGAGGCGACGAGATCGTCTTAGGGTTGCGAAGCATTTCATGACGAGACTTTATTATACATATTTTTTTTTATTTCCATCACAACAAACATTTGATTTTTATTTTACAAACTTGAAAAAAAAACCAGCCTGATCGATTGCAATAGGTTGCTCCGCAACCCAAAAAAAAACCAGCCCGATCGATTGCAATAGGTTGCTCCGCAAAAAAAAAGAAAAAAAGAGTATCCTGTGGCGAGTGTGGCTAGGCGGGTGCCATTGCCACGTCAGATTTTACTTCCGTCTGGCAGTTGCGCGTGACTGGAGAAATCAAACAACAATCGCCAGGTCGCTAGATATGTACGCCAAAAGTCGTCTACAGTGGAAACAGTAACCACACAATCAAACAAAATCACAACGAAAACTCCCATCGGCAGAGCATTTGGCGGAAAGGCGGAAAAAAATGCACAAAAAACATAAGCTTTTTTTTTTAAAATTGGGCTATAGCGGAACAATAGGGAACAAAACGTTCAAGAATACTGTACAAGCAGAAACGAACAACAAGAAGAACCAATTCAAACTACGTGGCACGATTTTGAATCAGGAGCGCAAACTCTGATGCACATGGTATACCTTAAAGTGCACCAAAATATAGTAAACACATATGTGTATGAAAGCCAACTATGTAACTATTTCTAATAGTATTAGATGTAGTGATATTGTATGCACATTTATTAATGCACTGATATGACATACACCATTGATTGAAAATTTTACTTAGTATATATTAAACTATTACTAGATAGTAACAGATAATTTCACATCGAAGCTTGACAGTTAGCTTAAGCATATACAATCTACAATAAAATATATACATATATGTGAAGGCTCCGCAACCCTCAGACGATTGCGTCGTTTTTTTTTTTTTTTTTTTTTTTTTTTTTTTTTTGAATTCTTAAAAAAATACCCTTCAAACTCGACTTCAATATCCTCGGTTTGTTACAGCTTGGAATTTGCCTACTATGTTTTCTAACAGATTATTTAGAACTACAATAGTGTGTTTTCTTGGAAATAAGAAAGAAGAAACTTAAGCATTTAAGGAATATCACGTGATTATATGAAAACGCGAGTACAACAACATCGAGGAGTGACAAGTGTAAGGAAATCCCCTTTTCCTTACTGGGCTCGACTACAGCGCGTACGCCGTCGACTCTCGGAAGTCCAGGCTCGGCCAACTTCTTCGGTCCCGAACCATTTCGCGAACCCAAACCTAGACGCGCAGCGCTTCTGTGGCTTTCGCCAACCGAATCGCCCCAACCTGCTTGCGTGGTTCTCGGCTAGCTCTGTTCGTGCCTAAAAAAGCCTAGGCCCTCATTTGTGTTAACATTCTTGATTCACGACTCCTTTATTACACTACGTATTATTACTCTGATAAATTCATAACAGCTAGTATCAGAGCTACGTTCCTGCCCGCTTAGTATTCCGTAGAGTAGTCCAATTATATCGGGAGAGGTCTCGACAGAATAGAGGGTTGGCCAGCGGTTGGTAGGCGAGCTCGTTAAAGCTCCTCCAACTAAAAGCGTGTGCACCCTCAGATCTGTCAGGTAAAATTTCCAGCATGACTACCACGCCGGAAACCTCTGCCCGTCGTAGTGTTAGGAACGTGACTCAGGAGGAGTTTGACGAGTTGCAAGCCAGGGCGGCTACAGTGACGAGACTGCAAGCCCAACTTCAACAAGTCGCCGATAAGTTCGAGTCGCTGTGAAGCGACGTGCAGATGCGGCGCAATGAAAACTCGTCGCTTCGCCAGACGCGGGGTGAAACGCGTCAGGGGCGGCCTGTTACCCGAAACGAGGATGATGCCAGCGAAGCGAGGGCGTCGGTGACACCTGAAGCAGTTGAAGAAGTCCATAGCGAGCCGCAGGCGGCCATTAAAATCAAGCCTCCGATGCCTCCACCATTCAACCCGACCGACAGGACAACTACAGTGAGCGGGTGGCTGTTCGCCATAAAAATCTTCTTTACGGCAGCAAGTATTAATAATAACGCATCACGTGTCAACTTGGCTGTATCGCTGCTGAGGGGACCGGCACTCGACTGGTGGCGCATGCATCTAGACAAGGGAGGAGCTCCGGCAGGGAATCAACGGGCGGTAGATGGGGAGCTGAGTTCATCAATGGCGAAGGCAGAACCAATCTTTGGGTCGGCCACGATGCGCACATGGAAAGCGTGGGGCGAAGTGTTGAAGGGCAGATTCGAGCACATATCCATGCGCGAAAATGCTCGCACAAAACTTCGGATGTGGAGATAGTTGGGCTCTGTCTAAGAATACACGGCGTCGTTTCTGGCAATCTGCGACCAAATCGGAGGGCTTAGCGAAGACGAGCGCATCGATCGCTACGTGGGTGGTCTCAAGCCAGAGATTCAGCAAGAGATCGTCCTACGAGCCCCGGCAATATTCAATGAGATCGTTCGCATAGCAGACGCGCTGGACGCACGACGTGGACTCGCGAGAGCGGGTTTCCAAGAGGGAAATCGCTTTCGAGGCCAGCCCCAACACACATCAATCAACGGCGTGGACGTGTTTGCAGTCTGAGTATTTTTGGGAACCTGCTTCCACTGCAACCAGCCGGGTCACATGGTGAGGGACTGCCCGCAGCTGAAGAAGAACTTACCTAACGACAAGAAGCAGTCGGGAAATGGAGATTGTCAATAGCAGATGGGCCACCTACTGACTTGACTGCGTCGCCCAAACGCCACCACCCCCACCAGGTTATTGTGCCGATTTGGGCTATCGACCATTCCTGACTGAATAAGGGGGGTGAACCGGTTGATCGCCCTGTGCTGGTTGAAGGGAGAGTTGGCGACACCCGCATAAAAATATTCGTTGATGGCGGGGCAAGCCACAATTTGATGGACATGACGAAGGCAAAAAAATTGCGATTGCAGCTGGAGCCTGCATGCCTGAAATCGACGTGAAATTGGTCGACGGCACACCACTGCTACAGTATCTTCCAACAGTTGACACAGGTAGACGACACCTAACGGAAGGGCAAAGGTCGTTGACTGTTAACCTTGGTGTAAGAAATTGAAAAGTGGTGCAGGAAACTAAGTATAGAATCTGCAGACACAAGTACTTGAAGTAGAAAGTAATACTGCAAGTACCTCCAGTAACAGCCAATATTAACAAGTTGTAACACCAGAATTAGTGTTACAGTCAGGGCTGACGTTTCAAAAAAAGGCACTCTGAGCCAACCTCCTAGAAAAAAAAAAAAACTCTGAAGGGCCTTCAGCCAAAATTTTGGCACTCTGAAATGACAAGTCCACAAAGTAACTAGTCTTTTTTTCTCAGGTTCCAGAAATTAAAATCAGCGTCTCATATTCTTAACTAACCTCATGTAAACAAACATTGTGCTACTCTTGGCATGAGCCTAAACTACTTCTACTACTACAAAAAAACCAAGGAACCACTCACTAAGAGCCACCTAGAATTCTGGCGCATCTACTGCAATATCATCATTAGCGCCCTTGTCGTCAGACAGAAATGGATTGCCGACCATCCTTGGAGCATCATCCTCCGCATCATCACCACCCCCGTCCTCCTCAGCCCACCCCTTCCCCTCATACTCTGGCACCTCCCCCTCCCCCTTTTCTTCCCGAGTCGTCTCGGCCGCCTCCCCCTCAACCTCCAGCTCCTTCCCCTTACGCTTGCGTTTCGCAGATGCGAAGCCAACAGTTCGTGCAGGGCGTCTCAGCTTCAGACGCCAGGTCATGAGGGCTTTACTCCAGTCGATGTCATACTGCAAAAGCGAGATGGCCATGAGCTCGAAGAGGCGCGCGTTGCAAAGGGTGCCACGGACCCAGGACTTAATAACGTTCTGCCTAGAAAAGCCCCTCTCGCACTCGACTGTTGACCGATGCAGCATGGCGCAAGCCTGCCATAGGAGCATCAGATTCGGCCAGCGCCTGTCACGGGATGAAAACATTGGCGCACGAAAGGCACAAAAGGGATTGCGACGTGTTTAGGTGGATTACGTACAGGGTATACAAGGTGATCAACAAAAGGAGCAAAGCTCAGAATCAGAACTGGAGTGGAAGGCAGCATAGTGTTAGGATTAAGGACGGAGTCTAGGTGAACTTAGGAGCTAGAATTACTCAAAATATAAATCCGAAATTCTGGACAGAAAAGTCGTCTTCACAAGAAACGACGTCGACAAACAACTAGCCGTTGGAATGTCGCGAAACTTGGATATGTTGTAGCTCTTAATCTCAGCTACCGTTCCCAATTTGAATCATGTTGATTGATAAAGTATTCGCGACGCTATGGCTTTCGACGCACTAGGGGGTAAGCTGTAGGAGGAGAACTTAACTCAATCTCAAAGGTTCAATCAAAGTTCAAGAATCTCACAAGGAATTAGAAGGAGCAAGAGAAAGGTTGGGATAGGAAGAGAGGGATGAGAGGGAAGGTCCCAAGAGAGTCCCCAACCAAGGAAACCCCATAAGCACAAAGATTCCCTCCCTATAGGAACCCCAACTTTGACATTTGTCCCTTCCCAACCAATCCATCCAAGTTGGCCACCCTTGCCAACCTAGCTTGGTTGTTCCCAACCAATGTGCAGCTGTTACAGTGAGTGACAAATTTCCCAAACCCCCAAAGGTCCCAACTCCATATAGAGTCACCCCACAACTTCACTTTGTAACCGCCGCAATTGTAACGCAAGCTCATGAACTTTGAATCTTCATAGCTTTCGCGTTCTTGCTCCGATTGAAGGGATTCTCGTTGCGTCGGAAAGATCTTCTCAAGATCTATCATCACAAAAAACCTGCTCAAACAAAATAACACAAAACACATTCCCAAACTCCAGAACACATCACACACAAATTCTTGCACACGTTCAAACCACACATGCAAGTTGAAAAAATATGGGATGGGAGGCAGACAGAATGTGATAGCATATGATGACATCACACAACACATAGCTCAGCAAACACAAGTAGAGCGGAAGGCAGTGAAGCGTAAACACGAGAACCATGGACTTACTTGCTCGACTCTGTCTTCGTGAGGTAGTTTGCTAGGCCCTGATGGAAGCCCTCCACCTCGTGATGGTTCTGCATGATCGGCGCCCACGTCGCCAAATCCATCTCCGCAGGTCGAATCGGGGAAGCCTGTGGTCGAAGATGCCACTGCAGTCGAGCTGACACTCCCTGGTTTTCTTATCGCGTTGCGCACGTTGTCTCGGCCACTTCGCCGCCACCCACAGCTTCGTCGGCAACATCTTCCGCAGATCATGCATACGATGTTGTACGTTGCTCATGGTCTCCTTCGCGTGTTTCTGGCACAGCAGGGCGCACTCCGAGTAGCTGCTCCCTTATTGGTGCTTGTCGAGATGCCGCTCGTGCATCTTGTACATGTGCGTAACCGGGCTCCCCTCCTTGTCAACGCCGCACACCTTCACACGCTTCGACCCCCCACACCCGTACACTGTTACCAACGCCGAAAGCCAAGTGTTTTCGGCGCCGGCACCGAAAATCTCCCCACACTCGACATAACGGTGCCGCAGATCCCCGAGCGTCTCGTCAATGTCCGTTGACACCTCAGTCACGTTGACCTGCGGTTTGGGGTGGGGGACACACGGTGACAGAGAACCAGAGGAGATATTAATACAAATAGAGGAGGAGAACACCACCATCGCAACCTTGAACAGCTCACCTCACGTTTTTGGAACTTGATGTTGAGGTCGTTCATGACTGCGAGCATGTCGGCCAGGTAGAAGAGGCAGAACTGAAACTTATACGAGGTCACAACTTCATACAGGGGATGCTCATACTCATACAGCAGCACAATCGCAGCACCCAATACCTTACACATACATCGGATGGCCTCACCCCTAGACAACCATCGAACTTGATGGATGCCTAGCACCTCCAAGTTCGTGCCGTGAATCGCGCACTGGAGGTACTTGAAGCGTCCGCTTTAGATGGTCGATGGACCGAGAAGGTCCGCAAGGGTGCGAGTAACCTTATCAACCATGTCGAGGTCTGGACATGAGGCGGCAGCATCCTTCACAGCTAGGGCTTCCCTGCAGGTATACACAATGACGTTGGTTAGCGCACGGACACAAATCCCGAGAACGAAGCTGTGCACAATAGCTGAACAAAGTGCGATGTGGGAGGAAACAAAGTGCGGGATGATGTCCACAGGCGCGTGACAAGGCCGTTGTCACGACCAACCATCACTGATGCTCTGTCAGTGCTGATGCCGACGATGCGTTGAAGATCGATGCCAGAGGACTCCAGGTGCAGAAGAAGAAGGGAACGATGAGAGAAGAAGGGAGACATCAAACCCGTGTCGCACCTTTCTTGAAAGGCGCTACGCGGTCTTAGGGCCTGTCCTTGCACAGCCCAACACCATGCAGCCATCGACGTGTTGGCTGCATTTACAGCCAATCGGGTAGTTGCCAAACCTATGGAAGGCTGGCAGATAGGGATTGGGGCCCGAGTTTCACGCATGCACAGAGAGCGTTAGAGCAGAATCTGCGGTCCTTAGAGGTTTGGCGTGGCAGCATTATGCCGCGCTGCATGGGAAAGTGCCCACAGTGGGCAGAGTACACGTTGGACTTGGCGGGATTTCCTGCTGAGTATGGATTCTGCACGTGACGCGGGCAGGAAGCACTGATGGCGGGCGAAAATTCGGGGGAACCCGCGGACCCTAGGGATGTCGGTTTCAGGGTCCGTACGCACTGCACTCTGGAAACTCAGTACTGGCTTAGCGTCAGGTCTGAATTGTTCAGGATCCCCAAAAACTTACTCTGAATCAATCAAAGCAGGGAAAATGGGTTTTCTGGAAATTCAGGTTTGCACATTACACCAGTCTTAGATTTCAGACTAATCAGAGTAAATAGTCTGATAAACTCACCCTTGGTTACAGTCTTGTAATACTTCAAGACTTGAGCAAGGATCTATGCCGGAATGGTATACTAGTAAGACATCGGAAGTCTTAGAACTTGTAGGTCTTGACCAGAATTTACTCAAGAACAAGTTGATAATTGAAGTCATACAAACCACTCTTATATCTGCTAGAAGTACCTGTTCGATAATGTACCTGTTCAACACTAATTGCACCATGCGCTCTAATCGCTACTGAAAATGGCCTGCTGGCCTAATCATCCAGACAAGCGCTATTTGCAGACGTCATACTCCGGATGCTAACTACAGTGTAACTCAATAATATCTATCGGAACTATTTACAGAAATGCTTAAGTGTGATTTTATCACAACACTCCCATTCATTTATGGAAGTCCAATAGTGTCACTTCTTGATAATTCCGCAAAGTTTGTTGCAGTACTGGAACTTATGACGTGTCAGCTTCTTGGTGAGGAAATCTGCAGCCATTTCATTGGTCGACCAACCGCATTCTCCCCTTCTCAACTTCAACTTTGACGAAGAAGTATCGTAGCGAAATGTGTTTCGTCCTGTTGGCGAAACCGGGTTGGTGCGCAATTCTGATTGCACTTTGGCTGGTGCACTACAGGGTGAACTGTGTACTTGTCATCAATTTCGCTTCCTCCAGTAGCTCTTGTAGATAGAGACATTCGCGAGTAGCTGTGCAAGCAGCAATGAACTCGACTTCAGCAGATAATAGAGCTACGAGCTCTTGCTTTTTAGAATTGCATGAGATAGTCCCGATAGGTTCAAAACGGTAGATAAAGCCGGTGCGAGATCGACGATTGGAGATATCTGCTGCATGGTCAGCATCGATGTACCCGTTGAGATATAGAGTTTTCGTAGTTGTGACTTGATAGGTAAGTCCAACTTCAGGTGTCAAAATGAACTACTGTAGAGCGCGAAGAAGATCTAGCCGATTCTCCCCCTTAGGTCGATGCAAAAATTGCGCGAGCTGGCTAGCGGCATAGGCGAGATCTGGACGACACGTTACAGATGCGAATAGAAGACAACGCAGCTGGTGATGATAAAGCTGTAGTTCAGTGCTATCGAGTGGAATGGTATCGGGTTTCTAGTCCGTATGTAGAGATCGGTAAAGTGTGGTTATAGTTGAAGGTGTGAGGTTAAAGCGTGCGGCTAGTGTAGCTGCATATTTGGAAGCTGTAAGATGAATAGTGGGTGTGTGGTGAATGTTAAGTCCAAGAAACTATGTGACAATAGGTGTGATGGTAATTTGTAGATGTTGTTGAAGCGTTTTTTCGAAGGAAGTAGCGAGAGAATCAGTGGTGCTGACGTATAGTAAGCCGTCGACATAGGCGACGAGTAGGATGTAGTCAAGATTGTCGGTAAGTAGATACATTCCTTGGTCGTGTGGGAGTTGACGAAACCTAGCAGTTAGTAACTGACTGTGTAGATACTGCTGCCATAGTCGTGGGGCCTGTTTAATACCGTAGAGAGACTTTCTCAGACGGCAGACGCTGGGAGGGTTACTTTCGTAAGAATGCGGGTGCTCAACCAAAATAAATGCGTCGACAGGTGCATATAGAAATGCATTGGCGACGTCGATTTGGCGAAGTCTAAAGTTCCGGCAGGCCACGATGCATAGGAGGATGCGGACACTAGTGTCTCTGCCGGCGGGAGCGAAAGTTAGCTCGTAGTCGAGTGCAAAAGTCCGCTCGAAACCGCAGACGACCCATCGCGCCTTGATTTTTTCAAAAGAACCATCGGCATTTATCTTCCCACAAAAGTACCGTACTCCCCTTTGTTTCCTTCAGTGGGATTAGATCCCAGGCACCTCTCCTTTCCAGAGCAACTAAATCCCGGTCCATGGCTTCTCGCCATTTTTCCCTGTTTGGACTTGTCAAAGCTTGGCGAACCGTTTTCGGCTCAAGAATCTTACTACTGTTTGACTGTATTGCGATTGCGAGTCCCAATACCTGTAAACCAGTTTCTGTAAAAAGAGGACGATTTGAGTTGACACCGGAGAAGTTGTGTTCTGACCCCTGTTCCCCCCCAACTTCTTCAGGTGTCACACGGATAGCTGGTTCGGAGACAATGGGCATTGGTTCGTAATCAAGAACAACATCTCGGACACCTTCAGAGTTTGCTTCGCTGAGGGGAATAAACTCGGCAGTTCCAGCTGACGTGGTTAGTACGGGGATGTCGGTGGCTGCTTTGGAAGACTCGGCAACTGACTCATCCTGTACATCTG